AGCTAATTGGCGTTCAAGAATGCTAAATAAAATTCTAAAACGATTTTTCTGCATTTATTCTGGTTATGCCGTTCTTATATTGGCTTGAAATGTGTTATGCAGTTTTTTTTCAATCCGGCTATCTGGCTGACGATGAAGGTATCTAAGTACTAATGATATTTTTCCGGCTAGTTGGCATGCAGGGCTGCAAAATAAATTGCCATAATCATTTGTCCAGCTTTCATCTGGTTATTCAGTTTTTTTAATGCGGCTATCTGGCTGATAATTGAGGCGTTATTCGAGTATAACCCTCTTACCCTAGAAATTTGCAAAACCCTGCGACATCGAGTTTCAAATTCCAACTCGATCGTTTTCATGCGTTTCCATTCCACTCAACTGCATTTCATCCACCACATCCCCCTAGGGTCCCTCCCTCTACTGCCCCCAACCAACATTTTCCACTCGATTTGACGGGGTTTCCGTGAGAAGTGTGGCAACCCGGCAACCTTTTTCCATCCCTTCTGACTGACTTACCGCCCACACACCACGGCGGCTCATGCCGATTAATTCGTTTACCAAATTCCCCAATTTTTGGGTTGTGTGGGTTATGAAGTTTTTCAAGCTGAAGGCCGCTAAGGCCCGGAAAATAAAAAATCAGATAATATTTTGAGTATTTGGATTATGTAGTCTTTCCATTTGTCTGATGCTTTTGGTATGGCAGGCCAAAATTAAATTGTTTGTTGCGTTTTTACGTTCTGCAGGATATGCAGTATTGTTATCTGCCCTGCGCTTACTAGGGAAGTGCAAATAAAAAATCCGGAAAATCGCTTAGCAAAAATATGGGTCTGATAGAGTCGACGACGGGGATTCCGAAACTGCAATCAGAATTTGCAAAACGCTTAATACAACAAAGTTATGAGCATTTTAAGTTTTCAGCACTTTTCTCGCCCTCCCTTATGAGCCCCTCCCAAAGACGGGTGTCCGCATGTCGAGTGGTGTAGTGGCTAACTAGCCTGCCCCTGGGGCGGAGGGTCTTTGGTTCGGTTCCCCGGTCATCCCAAATTTTTGCTTTTTGGTCAAAGTCAAGAACTTTAGACTTTTTCAAAGTTTCAAAGTCGAAAAGCCCGTTCTCTTAATTTTTAAATTCATGAAACCGATTACGAAGTGGTGGCAGGAGTGCAAGTACTTTTGCGGGTAGGGCACTAAAAAAAATTCACCTCTGTTTTTTCGTAAGGTAAGCCAACACGCAGTCAATAGTAAAGAAAATGTTCAAAAATTTAAATTTCGGACTTCGAAAGTTTGAAAAGTCTAAAGTTCTTGACTTTGACCAAAAAGCAAAAAATTTGGCATGACCGGGGAGCCGAACCAAAGACCCTCCGCCCCAGGGGCAGGCTAGTTAGCCACTACACGACTCGACATGCGGACACCTCTTTGGGAGGGGCTCATAAGGAGGGCGAGAAAAGTGCTGAAAACTTAAAATGCTCATAACTTTTTTGTATTAAGCGTTTTGCAAATTCTGATTGCAGTTTCGGAATCCCCGTCGTCGACTCTATCAGACCCATATTTTTGCTAAGCGATTTTCCAGATTTTTTATTTGCACTTCCCTAGTTAGATCAGGTGCAAAAATTAAAATGTTTGCCGTTTTTTAGGGGTATGCGGGTTATGCAATTTTTGACCTGACAGACGCTAGGGTACGTAAAAAAAACAGAATAAGATTTTATTTTCGGTTTTACGATGCAGGTTATGCAGTTTTTCGGGTTGGCTGTCACATGGGCTAGAAATAATGGCAATAGCCTCCCATCACACGTTTTACGGTTATGCAGTTTTTTCATATACCCTCCAAGTTATACAGTTTTTAGTATCCGAGTCTTTTTCGAGCCCTAGAAAGCCCCAAATCGATGTTACGCTGGTCAAAATGACGCCAAAATCCAGCTTCAGCTTCTAAAAACAACCACGCTCGCCACTTTCGTGCCAAAAACAAAATCCATGCAAATCAGATGGTCGTTTCCTAGTTTTTCCGTTCCGCTCTCCCGGATGTTTTCTCTCAAAAAGGAGACATTTGTGTGCCAGTCGGTCTAAAAAGCCGACAATTTACGGGGTAGAGGGGAGAAACGGGTCATGAGGAAAGGAGAGTAATACGATGGGGTCCTATTTACGCGACCGAGGCAGAAGACGTCCCTTCTGTCCGTTTCTTGGAGGGATAGCCTCCTGTGGCTTCTGGCTCATTTTCCCCCGTCCTTCTCCTCCTCTCCATTCCATCCAAATACCCTGAGGTCATCTCCGATTCTCGGTCTCGGCCGGCCACCAAAAAAACACAAGCCATCCCCCTTCTGGGGCGTCGTCCCATTGTTTCACGAGTTCAGAGGTCCATTCACAATTCAAAAACCAAAGTTTACGAATTGGAGGTTATTTTTGGGCTAACTAACTTGCAGAGAAGCTTTAGGGGCACTTTAAAATGCCAAAATAATTTTGCTAGTTGACAGGATGGTTATGCAGTTTTTTAGGCGCAGGTCTGGAAAGGGCCTCTTCGGTAGTTCCTGTCCGATAAAATCAAATGTTACAAATTCCAAACTTTTTTGGACTTACTGCCTTGCAGAGAAGCTCTAGGAAGCTTCGAATAATCTCGAACATTTAAGCTAGTCGAAGTACAAGTTATGCAGTTTTTGCTAATAGGCCGCTAATACGACGCTTTCTGCCCGATAAAAACTAAGTTTTCAAACTCGAATGCTGTTTTTGGACTTACTGACTTGCAGAGAAGCTACAGGAAGTTTCAAATAATCGAAAAAATTAAAGCTAGCTGAGATCCAAGTTATGTAGTTTTTGCTACCTGATCCCAAATACACCTGGCCAATGCTTCAGCAGAATTCCTGATTTGCAATTAGCGCTAAATCCTAAGGACCGGATGCTGTTGGCTTTCCGGGTTTCGCCATACTTAATCTACCATACAGCTAGCGCACCTGGATCATAATTTAGACAATATTATTGTTTTTCTCGGGTAAAACTACAAAGCCAATTTTCGTAATATTGACAATCTCAATGCTGAGCTTAGGAATCTTTCCGGGGCACACTGCCATGCAGTACACCTGTTCCATTCTTTTTGCAGACTGCCCGATTTGTGATCTTCGTAAAAAGTAGCCATTCGTATGAAGTGGACTGGCTGCATCCCCCTTCCCCCCCCCTTCTCTACCCATTGTTCATGGCCATTCCATTCTGCAATCTTTGCCGCCGTGCTTTGCTCGAAATCCACCAAGAAACAAGGAATGTTCCTTCCTGGTACCTAATAGCACGTTTGTTCTGAAGCCTTGAATTTTTAGGCGCTTTTTGTATTTTGGCTAGCAATTGACGTTATTTTAAAAACCGCATAACTCAAACCTTCATCCTAAAGTAAGGTCGTCAGTTCTAGAATGTTTTCTGGCCGCCATAAAGCTTAGAAGAGTAAAAATACGCTAATTTGTATTTGGCCGTGGGTACGACACTTTTAAAGTGTTTCCTAGATGTTTGAACGCCTAAAAACCCTGAGACTTTTGGTTTAACAGTAATAGTCGAAACATTTGAAAAACTGCATAGCTTAAATTTTTGAACCGGCGAGAAAGCCCACGCTTTTAAAGAGCTTTATGGTTTCCAGAAAACTCAAAACAACAGTTTTGGAACGAAAATTTTCCGCGATCGCAAAAAATAGTGATCCTGTGCTGCTCAGCCGCGCCCACGGGTGCCAATTTGATAGTATCGCCTTGTTTCTTCTTCCCTCCAGCTCAGCTTCTCCCCCTCCCACGTAATGGGATAAACTTTACGATGGCACTTCCGGTGGTCAGGAGCAAGAGCGCAAACTGGGGACGGAACCCCTAATTTCGTTTTTTGTTTCCGGTTTTTTGGTATGGCCCGCCGAGGAAAGGGATAGGGCCCTACTTTGGAACATCACGGAAGAGATGGGCCAAAAAGGGCAGAATGTCATGAATCGGGATTAGAGCCCACGTCACAACTCCAGCTTTTCGTGCTTTCCGTTTCCGGGGATCATGGCGTTCACCTAGTTGCTTCCGGTGGCAGCCAGTCCGAAAAACTGCATAACCCATTTTTGGCCAGCGGGGCTGTAGATTCCGTTTGTTACGCTAGAACGCTTGCCAGTTATGCAAGGAAAGGACATGAGAAAACTGCATCATACCTTATTTTGTAGCTTGCGGGTCTGATTTTGAATTTTATCTATTGCCCTCTAGCCAGTTAGAAGGATACGAAAAATAAAATTTCCGGTAAAAGCTATTTTGCACGATTTTTTTGGATTATCCGAAAAACTGCATAACTAATCTTTGTAGCTTGCAGTCTATATTTTTGTTAATTTATGTATAATTTCCGTCAGTAATACATATTTCAATGTTTGAACCTCAAAAACCTAGAACCCGATCTTCATTGTTATAAAATTCCCAGAAAATTGCATTTTTTTGGGCTCGAGCTCCAGAAAGCGTGATTGTCGGCATTTCTTCGAGTGCCAGCTAGGGCAAGAAAGGGAGTCGAATCCACTCTATCCCTCTCCTCTTCCTCTCGTAAATAAAATCATATTCTCTGGTCAATTTGTGCCGCGCTCTCTCTTTTCCAGTATCTTTTCCGTGATCTGGTCATAAGGCTCTACTCATCCAGAATGTTTCTTGATATCTATTATTTATTTAATATAATTATTTGATATATTTATTTGTTTCATCTTACTGTAATCCATAAAAAATAATATCGTTTTTTACCCGTCAAAAATTCTCTCCCTCGGGTTATGCAGGTTATGCAGGTTATGCAGTTTTCCATTCCAGGCCCCACCCTACCTCGCTATGATAATACGGATATGTTATCTGATAACCACACTGTATACCGTGGTGGCCAGAAGCACATATGGTAACTTTAAAATTCATTTTTCTAAGCTAATAATTTATTTAGACGCCCCACCAGACCATTATCGAATTCTGGACGACATTTTCGAGCGTTATAACCGGGAGCTAATCCCGAAAAAGAAGCAAAATGAGTCGGTCCACATCTATTTTTCCATGGAATTATATCAGATTATTGAAGTGGTGAGTGGTAACTACAAAATACAGACGAAATTTATATTTTAGAACGAACCGCAGCAATATTTGATGCTGAATGCCTGGATTGTAGAGGTGGGTGGCAATTTGTAGTTTATAGTTGACTTTTTCATAGCTTTTCTGCTGCTTAAAATTCAGACTGTTTATCAGAAAACCTATATATTGATTTTTAGCGGTGGTACGATAAGCTGTTACGATGGAATCCACGGGATTTCGGCAACGTATCCGAGATTATGGTCCCCCATCATCGTATCTGGCTTCCAGACACCACCCTCTACAACAGGTTTGACAATTTAAATAACTTTTCAGCTTTTTTGGGTGGCAAGATACAGTATGAATTTTTTAGCCTGGTTATGGAGGACCGGGATACGCGACGTCTTCTAAATGCCAAACTGACCACCGGGCCAAAAGGCGCCTACATTGAGCTCCTATATCCAACCATATACAAACTGAGTTGCAACCTGGATTTGAGGTTTGTTTAACTGGCTATTGGACAGGGTTTTGAAGCTTTTGGAATTTTGTCAGATCCATTGCCTGCCGCTCTTTGAGTTATGCAGTTTTTCACTTAATAGGGGCCAAGTTACATTCTGGAGTTTATAAGTTTTTACTATATTAGTATGCCTGTTAATCTCTGGGTTATGCAGTTTTTGCCTAACTGCTAACCACGCTATGTTTTTAAATTTATAGCATTTTCCTAGAGCGGGCTTCCGTTGCCGTTTTACTTACGCAGTTTTTCCTTGATCTGACCAACGAGCTGTATCTTTCAGTGTATAGAATTTTGTTTTTCCGTCTGTCCGGGGCTCTAGCCGTTATGCAGTTTTTACATAACTGGCTATCAAGCTGTACCTTCGCAGTTAAAGAAATTTATTTATCTGTCTGTTTGTTGCGCATTCAGTTATACAGTTTATGCCAGTTTATGCACTTATGCAGTTTTCCATCTTTCAGATTTTTCCCTTTCGACATCCAAGTATGCAAGCTAATATTTGGCAGTTGGACATTCGATAATACCTATATTGACTATCATCCCTATAATGCCCAATTGGCCATCGGTACTACGAATTGTATCGAGAATGAGGGGTGGTGGGTCATTGGGACAAGTGGTAAGTTATAAGCCTCGTTAAATAGACATTTTTATACCTTTTAGTTACCAGAAGGGTGGAAAAATATGCTTGTTGTCCGAATAATTATACCCTACTCGATTTCTACCTTCATATACAACGGAAACCACTCTATTACGTTATAAACTTGATTACTCCAACGTCTATTATTACGATTATATCGATTGTGGGATTTTTCAGGTTTGAATTTTTCTTAAGATTTTAAGCTATATCTTTTAGTTGCTCGTCAATTAATGAATTACGCGAGGAAAAGATTTCGTTGGGGATCACGACCTTATTATCAATGTCAATTTTGATATTTATGGTCTCGGACAAGATGCCGTCTACTTCATCGTTTATACCCTTGATTGGTTGGTATTTTTCTGATTGTCTGTTTGTCTGTCTGTTTAGCCGTCCAATTGTACACTTGTCTGTCTGTCTGTTTATCTGCCTATGTATAGCTAAAGTCTAAAGTTATGCAGTTTTTGTCAAACCGATGATTTATAGGCAATTTTTACGCATTTTTTATATTGATAAAATTACTATAAATTTGTTTGTCTGTGTTTTTTTGCCTGTATGTTTATTTGTCGAGCTGTCTGTCTGTCGCATAATCGCTATTTTTTTCGCCTTACCGGTTTAAAACCATGCGTTCCAAAGTTATCCAGTTTTTTGAAAACCGAATTTTTAGGCTGGTTCTACACGTGTATGATATTGTTAATATCATTATCCACCCTTCTGTCATCCGTGATAATCTACATTCAGAAGCAGGGAATATTGGGAAACCGCCGAGGAATGGTACGTTATGCAGTTTTCTAAAGTTCCTCGGAAACTGGGAAAATTAGGGTTTCCTGGACATTAAAAATATGTTTATCACTCAATTTGGTAGCCAATTAAGCTAAAAAATTACGAACTGTCACGATACCTTTAAATCCGTAACATTTTAGAAGTGATGCGATACGCGAGAGTTGTCGGGAGATTCGTCCGGATGGAACTTCCGCTTTTAATGCGTCAAGCCTACGCACAGAAGGCACGAGTGGGCTGCTTTCCATTTCTTTTCTTTACTGTCTAACTCCTAATATTTCTATACTGACCATTACATGTCGTGTACGAATAGATAGACTGCATGACATGCGACAGAAAACAACCAAATTTTCAGGAAGATCGTCTCCGGAAGACGCAACGTGCCCGTAAAGAGACAATGTGGCAGAAAGTATACAAACTGTCCAAGGTCTCCTCTCCTCTTACTTTCAAAAAGACGTTACAACCCAATGTAAGGGGGTTCGAGAATGGAATTGAATGGAATTGAATGGAGTGGAATGCGGGACGGGGATCGGGGTTGAGCTCGGGTTATGCAGTTTTTCCTAAAAATCACTCCAGCTTCGTTGCTATCGTTCTGAAACCGTGAAGGTTTATTAAATTTAGGATTCTGACACCCAATGATCATTAAAAGATAATCGAATTACCTTTTTGATGCCGGAATGCGTTATGCAGTTTTGCAAAATGCCGATTTTTGACCCAGATTCGAGCTAATCGATTCGATATGGATTGATCGATGTTGGGCGGGAGGGGGCGAGTTATGCAGTTTTTCATAAAAATCCTTGTTCGTTAGTTAATATTTACCAGAAGATCTTGCTACTCAAAAATTGACGTTTCTGCCACCCAACTGCCATTTTGAGCTGAAAATTATAGGCTCCGGATGGCAAAATGCATTATGCAGTTTCCAAAATTTGCATTTTTTGAGCGGCGGGTGCTCGAAATTCAACTGCACGCCGGGATTACTTTTTCTGCATGACGATAAGCTATTAAATAAGTTTTTCCGTTTCATTCGGTGCACTAATAGGTTATGCAGTTTTTCAAACCCTGATCCCTATCGATCCCCCGATCCCCGACCCGCTCCCAGCTTGCCTTTTTGCCCTCACATTTTTGCTTCTTCTTTGCGAATGGTTGACAGTTTTAATACAGAAAATGTTATACTTAGAAAATTATACAATTTAGTCGCACTCGCAGCCGAAACATCTCAATAAGCTGGGCGATGAAGAAAATGGGGAGCTACCACAAGAAAAGCCAAGGAAAGGCATCAACATCAGCCAAGAAGTCCTCAAAATAAGTGAGTTTCACGGTGTTATTTATTATTTCCGTTTGCTTGCCATCCAGTTGATTGAATTTAACATCGTAATCAATTTAATTTTGCATGTTTTTAACCCATCCTACCTTTACAAAGTTTTATAGTCATTTCAGACGGTACAAACGGAGTGCCAGAATATACTCCAATGGGGGATGTTGATCAGGATGATGATACCGGATATATTGATGGCATGGTAAGGGATATACATCGCGTAATTGGATATACATATCGTAATTGGGTATACCTAATGGAAAACAGCATTCTATTTTGATTTCTTTTTGAAGTTCCAGCTATCGTAGCGCGTTGAATTCGTAATTTCTAAACGCATTTTATGATGTAATCTATTAAACCGATTTTTAGGAAGACGTTGACCTACCTCCCTCAAAATTCCTCCACAAAACGAGCACATCCCAGTCGATTGACAGCGCGCTGCGGCTGGGCGTCAATCTGGAGCGTAAGTCACTTCACTGGTCCTTTAAAATAAGAAATATTTTAGTTTTATGGCCTTTGCATGACAATATATCAATTCCAGCGGCTGCCCCGCGAACACCACGCAATTTAGCGGAGCTAGAGTATGATTGGCTGGCGGCCGTGGTTGAGCGGGTTCGTTAGAGTCGAGAGTTTATCCGATTATGCCAGGAAACGTGGAGTAAATAGGTGTAGCGCGTACGCTGGCTCGCGATAAATTTTTTAAGCCAAAATTATAAAAATTAATTTTTATCTTACGAGGTTTTGAAGGTTTGTGAAAGTCATTCGATTACGCTATATAATTATCACGAAAAGCTATCCAATTACGAGAGGAAAAGTGGCGAAAAGAGTAGTGAGGCGTAATCTGAATCACAATACAACTTTTCGCAGTAAAATTACAGAAATAAATGTTGTTTTACCAGGTTTTTAAAAGCTGCAAAACCAATCGATAGGCGATATAATTTCGATCCATTTCAGGTGTGCCTGATCGTGTTCACGTTCTGCTGGGTGTTGATGACATTCGGCATCAATTCGATTGGCGTCTATTATTGGGCATCTGCTCGGGTCAATTGATCAGACTACACACCAAAAAAGAGAGATACAGTACTACGGAGCGATGCGGAACTACGGGACCAATCAGAATATAACAATTCCCCCAAATTTTCTTTGTAAACACGAGCTTTTCTGATACGGGATTTTCACAACGACGGCCATTTTTTAATAATATTATTATTGTTCGTGTATATATTTTGTTATTGGAATATTTGATGGTGAAATAAATGTATTATTTAAATTTTAAAAATGCAAAAAATTTTGATAAACTATTCTTTTTGGAAATTGGTTATGTAGTTTGGCTTTTCTGACCGATAAACTCAATTTTCAAAGGGATTTTCGAGAAAAATATCGATGATTTGGGTTATGCAGTTTTTCGCCTTTGTCTGCTGAAATTTCAGATATTTATTTTCGACTTATAGCTGTAAAGTTGCGCTTTCTGGCTGTTAAACTAACGATTTAAGTATTTTCTGGTGAAAAACAAAAGCTTATTTAAGTTATGCAGTTTTTACGCCCGCTATCTGTTACCAGGTCTTTTAGTGGTCATAAAATCAGTAATCGTCGGAAAACTAGGTTATGCAGTTTTCTGTTGTCCACCAATCCCGAACCCCCCTTTTTGGCGAGTAACTACTGCTTCGATGCCCTGTATGGAGATCATAAAATTGTTTGTGAGGGGGGATAGAAAAGGGTCAGTGGGGGGATACCCATTCCACCCCTCGACCTTCCCCCCTAGAGAGAGACCGGAGGGGCAATTATACGACACGAGCCAGTGTGCACCGGATTACCCATAGCCTCTGTTCTTCTCTCTCGCTATATGCCCTACGGTCACTCTCATTATGCATACCCCACTCCTCAACACCCACACATACAGACAGACAGACGGACGGACTGACTGACAGACAGAGAGACGAACAGGCAGACGGACAGACGTATTCTGGCATCCAAATGAAAGGACAGTGTTCAAATCAACTCAAATAACGTGTAAGGTCCAGTTATCTGAGGCGGCTAAAATCGCTAATCACACGTAATTCTTAAAGGGAGCGTGACAGGAGGCTAATTTTAGTTCAGAAAGACTAACTGGCATCAGCACCGTCGATTGGTGGCACGATCCATTGAAAAAATCCCACCGCGAGGTTATGCAGTTTTTGGCCCACGAAAAACTGCATAACTGCATAACCGAACAAATGGCTTTCGGCCAGTTCCAGTGATCGGATTCGAGTTGGTGCATCCCAGAAAGTGTCAAAATACCGAAAAATCTAAAATTTAACGGGAAACGTGCCAGCTGCCTCATTTCAAGAGCACAGGCCAAATTGGTTGGTTCTTTTCTAAATCCATCCACAACGGTTTTATCTGTGTTACTAAAAAGGTTATGCAGTTTTCTGATATCCGATTCCTACATCTACCTCTTGAACCAGTGGTCCCTCCTGCATGGAAATGTCGATAGGGGTATCGTGAGGGTACTGTGAATGGTCCACCCTCATTCATACAGTCTCTCTCTCTCTTTCTCTCTCTCTCTCCTGTACCCATATCGGGACCCTTTTGATGGCCCCTGAGGGCATCAATGAATGGCTAGAGAGTGAAGGAGAGAGAGAGAGAGAGAGAGAGAGAGAGGGAGTGAGAGCGAGGCAGACAAAGAAATACACATCCATTACCACCACTCAACCCTTCATAAAGAGGGGGATCGAACGTGCGACAGTTCGATAGATGACTGACTGGCCGACAGTCTCTCTATTTCTATGGCTACGGTCTATTCACAGTCCCTCCCTCTCTCTCTTCCGGTCAGTGGATACCATGAAGGGGTCGAGGGGGTGTATAGAAAGGTGTCAAATGGATACCCCACAATGGGACATCGGGGGTAGATTAAAGGGGCCGACAATGCGTGGAAAATGGCTGGATTTGTGTGGTTTATCGTCTGTAGAAAAATGAAATTATGGATTTTGAAAATTGCTGTGCTTTTTAGCTGCTAACTGATATAAAATGGCTGACCTGTAGTTTGTAGTTTTCTAGCAACCCTGGCAACTTAATTTTTATCGAAACTGGCAGCCAGTGAGTTCAAATTTTGAAAAACGTCCCCTGCTGTGCTTTTCAGAATCCTAGTGCAATCCTAGCATGAATTCTATGGTCCGACTATCCATTCGAATGTCGATATGGCCAGTCTCGCCCTCCCCCTTCAATTCATTCAATGGCCATTCCATGCCCTCCAAACGGTCACTCTCTCTCTCTCTCTCTCTCTCTCTCTCTCTCTCTCTCTTTTCGCTCTCTTCCCCCCCTTGAAAAGGCCCCTGTCCAAAATGCAAAAACCGTGTGGTGATCGGGTGCATGGATGGTGTGGAGGGGTGAGTGATGCAAAGCCACCTCTTCGCTCACACCCAAAAAAGGGCACCGAGGAGTGGAAAAAAGTGTTGGCTGACGGTCAAGGGGAAGGGCGGAGAGTTTTCTAGCGGCCAGATAGATATTTTGAACGGATTGGAGGTTATGCAGTTTTTCTAGGTTATGCAGTTTTTGATAGATCCAAGGTTATGCAGTTTTCAGAAGTTAGGCAGTTTCTTCACGGTTATATGGTTTTTTTGCAGGGGGTTTTCGAGGTTGCAGGTTTCAAGCCAGTTATGCAGTTTTTGGGGATCGACAGAGGTTATGCAGTTTAGACCCAGCTAGCTGTTGCCCGGTTGTTGACAACATTATTTTTAACCTCCGAATGATTCACCACCGGATGTGTCCCCCAAAAGTCTTCACCCTGATTTGCACTCGATCACTGGGCCCTTTGGCTCGAAATTGGCCGACCCAAGGGGGACAGCCGCGGGATGGCAGTTGGCCAACAAGTGACCTCTACTAGCACTAAATCCCCCCTAAATCTCGGGTCAAAGCACGAAAAGGCACAAAATAAGATAGATAGGGTTTTTTCTGTCTGGCAAATAATAGATTTCTGCAAAAAAATAATTTTTGAAAAAATTGATCTCGTGAAGTTTTCGGGATTTTATTTTTCGACATATATTCCAAGCCGATCGAAAAAGTTTTCCCTTTTCTATTTTGTATATCAGATCGAAAATTCCTGTAACCAAAGCCCCGGACAGCCGTCTCAAATTACCTTGTTTTGACGGTTTGGGGATACCCTCTGGGAGCCTAAATTTATTTTCTCCGGCCAGCCTATCCATCCCCGAAAATCAGTGGTTGGCCGGCCAAATGCGTGTTATTTAGGGAAACTGCGTGGTAGCCATAGTTACCTGGGTGGATACTGGAGTGTACGGGGGCATCCACGAGTAATTATGCGCCGACAAGGCCGCTAGATAAGTTA